TAATTTACTGTTTTGAGTATTATTATTCTCTAATTCAGGCATAGAAGAAACACCGAGGGTATGTAAGAACATTTACCCTGCTCAAGATGACTACATTAATCACCGTCCTAGATTCGTTTTCAATTACCGCTCTACCTTTGATCTAATGACACAATCAGACACCCATATCCCATACCTATACAAACGATCACCTGAACGTAATGACCTTAGTAAACCATCTATCTAATCATACTGCTGATCAGTAAAGGAGAGACTGTCTAATAAGACTTGCAATGCCTTCGCACATATACTGTAGCAAGGGCGTTGCAATAAAAGGGAAAATTAAATTCAAAGATGAAACAAGTTGTGTAATCTAAGATATGTCACATGAGCAATAATGACAATTTGATCTAACTTATTCCAGTCGAGACCTTTCAATCATATCGATCTATCAAAATTAATGAACAAAATTGAGAAAATCATAATCTATGTCTATTATGTCTTCGCGAATAAGAACTTCCAATTTACCGTACCGATATAGGCCTATCTTTGTTAGTAACCCTACTATCACACCGTACTAGTTCTCACTACGTTCTCGAAAACGGGTCTATATACTGTGTACGAACGGATTGGTCTATTTACAAACTTCACTGACGTGCTCGAACGAGTTGGTAGACCAGAATTTAGAGTATTCTCAAAAGTTTCTTGTGGCCACCACATTCTGGAATCTGAACGAGTGACAACGGACTTAAAACGAGTCGGACGTATTACGGACGGAACTGTCGTACTTCAATCCTCGCGATCGTAGGAACGTTTTTAGAACGAGTCGAACTGTCTTGGGACGTTTTGATAACAAGATAGAACTAATTGCGAACGGGTTATTAGAGGCTGCTTATGAACGACTTAGCAAAAGTTTCTTCAAAATGTTGTCGAACTGGTTTTAAACTTTACGTACCTTATTGACGTGCTCGGACGGGAAGGACATTTAGAATTTTGAATCATTTCAAAATTTGATGATGACCATACCGTTTTGTAATTAGGTCGTGTGACAACGTACTCCAAACAAGATGACCTACTAGATTGGGGATATTGCACTTACGTTTGAAAATCGACATAATGCTACCTAAACGAACTGTGAATGAGATTAGCTTATAGACTAGATGAGAGTAGAAATAATCTTGATTTACGTCATTAAATATTCATAACTCAGTCAAAGTAATGTCATATTTGAAATCTACATGTAAAAGTGCATCTAGAAATATGGTTTCGAAAATTGTTTATCAACTTTGAAAATTTAATTTTTTTAAAAATATGACTTCTAGTTCGGGTTGATTCCCCATAGACACCATGTTACAAAATCACAAAAAGTGAAATATATTTTCTTGTATAGGACAGATAACATTTTATTTTACTGGATATATTTTAATTTGCATAAGAGTTATATGAAGATTGAACCACTAAAACAGATGTTATTTAAGTTAAAGGGAACTTGCTACTATACCCGCCATGCTATCTGACCCGAACGAGCCACCTGGTGGTGAAACTGGTAACTACCTACTCGCATCTGCGTTATTGTAGATATTTTCCCGACCACAGCCCGATTTAGCCCATCTAACGACATTTTAATGGGACCGGAAAGAACGGTTGAGAACTTGTTTGATCACTTGGTGTGATAGGGGGGGGGGGTAACCCTACTATCACTCCAAACTAGTTCTCACTACGTTCTGGGAACGGACTTAACCCCCATATCACACTAAACTAGTTAATAACCGTTCTTTCCAGTCCTACGAAAAAGGCTGTGGTCGGGAAATCTGTCTAAAATAATTAGCTACTCCGTTCATAAACAGTCTTCAATACGTCCATCTTATTTGCAGTTCGTTCAATTCGCGCCATGTCGGTGTGCACACGTATTGCAATTGATATCCGATTGCACAACGTTGTATAATGCGTCCCTAGTAGGGCTGAAGTGCAGCAATTACGTTCCTGGTCTAGTAGGTCATCTCTTTTGCAGCACGTTGTCACACGATCTGATTACATAAAGGTATGGTCGCCATCGAATTTGGAATCATATCAAAATTCTGAAATCACATTCCCGTCTGAGAAAGTTCATTAAGTTCGTATAGACCTTAGAAAGTTGCAGCAACGTTTATTCCGTTCGCACACAGTTTTGAAGAACGCAGTGGCAACTTGTTTGGTTTGATAGCTATTTTTTGCTAACTCGTTCATCAGCAGTCTTTAATACGTTCTTAATCAGTTTAAACCCGTTTGCAATAAGTTCTCAATACGTCCTCAGACAGTTCAACAGCCTGATGTCAAAATGTCCCAAGTAGGATTGAAGTACGGCGGTTCCGTTCGTAGTACGTCCACCTCGTCGTTAGTACGTTTAGGAGAACTAAATTTTTACCACTAAGATCAACATTTTCTTCTTTATAATGGCATATTCAGTGTATTTGAATTCTATGTGTTATTTTTTATTATAACAATTTGCACAGTCACTTATTTACCTTGTAATGGTATTTTAGCCCTACCAACTCTCATGCTGCCATTTAGTGATCCTTAATCCTTCTCTATATAAGTATATAGAAAATGGTCAATATCTGTACAGGTATAGATATACGTGTGCACACCGCATCGACATGGTGCGACCAGAACGAACCGCAAATGAGATGGACGTATTAATGACTGTTTATGAAGCTAATGTTTTTACACATATTTCCCGACCACATCCAGATTAAGCCCGTTTTACGACTTTTTGTAATACTGGAAAGAACGGTTTAGAACTAGTTTGGGGTGATATGGGGGGGGGGTTAATGAAAGCTGTATATTCAAATATCCCTTGATCATAGATAAGATTCGGGTAGCGTTCGTGTAAAATGTGTCCCATTCGCCACATCAAACTACCACTCCTGTCCATTTAGCCTTAATTTAACGAAAACAAGGAAGGAAGGAAACAAGTAACCAAAATCACAGCTCCAGAATCGTTATTTTTATCCAATAGCTGACGATACCGATCTAACACTGCTGGAAGGTTGTAAATGGCTACTGAGATTAAACATGACAGAATATCATGTACGTTTCTCAGATAATTCCCTCTGCGAGTGGACGTTGTCAAATTTATTTTTGATTAAAACCCGTAGAGTCGAATAAGATAAGCGATTTATACTAAGAATATCCTGTTTGTGATTAATACAGAGGCTACAATAATTTCAGTGCAGTTTAAGGTGTTTCAGAAATCCGTTGAGTTTGATCAAGGTTGTCCTAATCTCATTTGATCTCGAGTTATTATTCTACTGACCTTCCTGACCACACACATCACTTTATATTATCTCTAACACAAGATTTGCATTTATATCCCCTGTATCTGAGCATTACCTTCCTCATACAGTGTGGGGCAATGGGACATTTACAATACCCCTTAAAGTATTCACTACAGACATATTAATAATCTAAAATAATATGGACCCAGAATCAGTTTGATAACTTAAAGCTTCCTGGAATGCTTCTCGAATTCTGACCTACTATGGCAACCATAATATATTCTTTCTGTTCAAGAGATGCATTTTAAGAGCTACAAAAAGATATTATACAGGAAATTGAAATATTTTAGGGTCCGGCATTAGGAGCAGAACGCTATTAGATTGCACAACGTATCTTTATTGATTAAACATTATTAATATAATTTTATTGTTCCATTTTAACAAATGAATTCTGTGAAATGGATGAAAATACATGTGCATAAGACAGTACGCTAGCAATCAAAATCAAGAATCGCTATTTCTTCCATTTCCAACAAAACGGTCCATTCACAGACAAAAGATTTTATATGTTAGGAATGCTTTCAAATTCATAATTTTTTTTATTGAGAATTGAAAAAGGGAAATAAAGGCGGTTGTCCCGGCTACTAAATCAACGGGGGTAATATTTTAGGCCCACCCTGCATGTTAGTACTAAAGAGCAGGAATTGAAAAAATTGGTCTATCTTGTATACATAAACTTAGTGATGCATTTAAGCATTTTTTAATTGATCGTCTAAAAGCGTTGATGAATCCGATTGAAAATAATTCGTTTCGTAAAGAGTGCTAAATCCAATTGAAAATTGATATTCTTATGTGTCTCTAGTCTCAGCTCTAGTAAAGCAAATCAAAATTGATTCCACTTTAGAGAACTCCTAAACGCTATTAATTATCATCAATCAGACTTTGGATCTGCGACTTTAGAATGCAATACTCCCAATTTGATACGGTACAAATCGTCTTACGTACTTGGGAATCATTTCGTGATGTTCTTCAAATTGAATTAGATGAATATTCTATGAAATAATTTTGTTCGACGTTAGGGAATATCGTTTACACTCTATTGGCCTCAGTGCGACAAACAACGGCTACAATGATTGATTTATGTAAGCAGGTCTCCAAAACAGTCCGTTTAGCGTGATAAATAGTGTCCAATACTTCACTAAGCTCGTTAAAACTTTCATTAGCATTTCTGTTGGAGTCATCAAGCGAGATATCACAATCAATCTATACATGTTTTTGATTAATCCTAGACGACATAAACAACAAGATTTACCTATCTTAGAGCTAGCTCCGATTGGGTATTACACCGGGAAACAGAGCGAAAACAATGCAAAGGTGTTGATGTAAAACTCACCCGAGCACAGATTTTCATAGTAAATAGTCTCCGCTTTACAGAAATTTCACATGATTTAAGTGCTTTGGATATAAATACATAACATGATGGGATTATCAATTGGATCGGTATACTAATGGTATTGGATGCTCATTTAGAATTATTGCTACAGACCGTTGTGTATATTACTCTATAGACTAGAGAACAACATTAGTTATTTTCTTATGGTGTGGAGTTTTTGTGACCGTCACGCAATAAAACGTAACATCTAATCGAAATTAAGGAATCTGGATTAAATTGATATTAATAAAATTCGATGTGGTGTTTTGCCATCGGGAGCAGGGTGACATGTTCGATTAAGCAGAACCATTGGTTGCGTAAACACAAGATTCCTTGGGGGATTATTCGAAAGTTTGGTTCTTAATTCTAGATGATTTTCCGGCTTAACATGGCACACAAACGGGAGAAGGATAGATAGCATCTAAACCGGCCAACGGTTGCTACCTGTGCTCTATTCTTAGCATTGTTAGCAACTAGACAAAGGAAGTTACTTGGAAACCAAAGGTTATATATGATTCAAACCAATGTGCGCATTATTGGAAACCCCGTTGACGTGTGGCGAACCTATCCAGGGATGTTGTTTCGTTTGACTCGATGCATTTCTATAATTTGAAGTTGATTTGCATCGATCACATTTTGTTTCGAAATTTGATTGCAATCCGTTTCTATCTAATAAACAGACGTTTAAATGACAACTCTAAGTAATGAAACTTTAAATGATACCTCGGAGGAAAATGAATAGAAAGTGATTATACGAATAGATTTGAGAAGACATAAAAGTCGACAGGTGTTTTGGACAGCTAGGTCCGGAATGTAAACGCTTGATCTTAGTAGAATTTAGGCATCGTCATGAACGGTATTCTTGTACAACCTAATGCAATCACAATTCACATGATGATGACAATGCTTTTGTTTGCGAAATCCGAGGATGTTCCTGAGAAAAGAATTCCCGATGAGCAACGACTGCTGTCAAAACTACTGGGAAATTACAACACGGCGGCTCGTCCAGTCTACAATGCGTCGCACCCCATAACTGTTCTTTTTGGACTAACATTTGTCCAGATTCATCAAATGGTAGGTTTGTTTTTTATCATTTTGATATAAATTCCAGGTAATACAACAACGATGCGCGATAAGCATGGGCGAGAGAAGATAGTTCCAGATGAACAGCGGCTGTTGTTGAACATTTTAAGAAACTATGAGACAGCTTCACGCCCAGTATACAACGCTGCACAAAACGTTACTGTATCATTTGGTTTTATACTGACTCAAATTGCTGATATGGTAAGGATTAGTGTCATTTTCACCCATTCAAATAATATTTTTTATTTCATTCTGTTGCAAGGATGCTCGGTATGGTGCCATCGCTGTTAAATGCTTTAAACATAACGGGAACATATAAGTTGTATTACAGCAACAAACTATTTCCACAAAGACTGAACCCAAAAATGAATAGGTTGCTACTATAATCGGCTCAATATACGGAAAGGGATAAATAACCTACGGCTAACTTACGAATTAGATTCTGATAGTCCTAATTTTGCGCTCGTATGCTAGCTCATGGATTATACGTGCGAAAACATTGACCATATTAACAGGACAACATTCGTTTTATTACTTAATGAACGTATTTCTTAAACTGATATCCTTACGATCTCTATAACAAGATAATTTATTAAATACCAAAACAATTCCTAGAGTATTGTTTAGTTATACAGTAATGTGTTACAATGAAGGTATCGATCAGTAAAAGATACTAAAAGATAGATAGGTCATCTCATTTTTTCCTTTGAGCTGTCTGGATTAAGGATTGATCGTGGCCATTAGGAAATACAATCATCTTGAACATGATTACCTCAAATACAGTAGTCTTAATCAGTATTAGTTAAAATGATTCAAAATCTTCGTGTAGGTAAGTATCTCATAGACAGCCACTCCAGGAAAAAACGTAACACTGACATGCGTTTATTTTGATTCGATTCAGAACGCCGTAGTATCATATGTCTTGAACATTTCTATTTTTTAATTCTTCGCATTGTTGCACGTACGTACGTCTTAATTTTAATACTCATCGTTCCTTTTCAAACTATGGCTGGCATTATGATTTTTAAAAGGAACGGAAAGAGGTCGGCAAACTCCTACGCTGCCGGATGGCAGGGTATTTCACTTTCAATATGGCTCATTAACTACCTACTAAATCCCAAATGAGTTGCTAATTGGGTCTACAAGTAGCGAAATAAATTAAAGCCAACATATTTGCAAAATTGCTTTTCGTTTAAATGGGCTGATTGCAAATCTGTACAAGTCCCAAAAAATCGTAGACGAATACGAACCATCAGAGACAAAGCGAACCATTTGAAAACACTAACACCCCAGTCACATTTCCCACGGCCGCCGTGTGGTCTTTTTCTGCGGCCAGTAGCTTTTCTACGCTCGCCGCTTTTATTTACATCGGGACAATTTATAGATGTTATTCATCGTGCTAGGATGTAATATCAAATGAAAAGTGATCGTGAAACATTGACAAATAATGATTCAATCTTGTTGAGCCAGTTGATTTCTACGGGGACCTCAGAAATGAACAAATATTATAACTCCGAGTTATAATTTCTACGGCGACCCTGCAGCCTGTAAAAAACTGGATACGCCGTACGGAGGCCGCAAGGCGAGCGTAGTTTTTCTACGCTCGCCGCAGAAATTCACCCATTTCATTGATTTGTGGTCGACCTACGGCCGCCGTGCGACAAATGTGTCTGGGGTGTAAATCTACAATATTCTGCTTCGTTTTCTGGAGTACAACTATCATGATTACAAATATCACCTTAGTACCCGTCCAAGTTGCTCCCTGAACAGAACTCTCGCTTTGATACCCCGTTTGATACCCATGTTTGCTTATATAATCTTCCTCAATATCTTTCTTACTAAATCAACCATACAGCTTTACATAAAATCTTCCCGAACTAACAAGATCGAATTAAAGGTTATCTGTCATACTTAAGGCTACCGTGTTCTGGTTATGCATGAAACGATAAAACTACATTAGACCTGTCAAAACGAAATTGAGATCCTGTGATATAGAGAAGCAGTGATCAAACGTCATGTGTGGGCATTTAGCTTATTATCCCATCGAACGAAGTTCGGAGGGATGTAGGGAACGCCTCCGTCCGTCCGTCCGTCCGTCCGGGCAATAAATCAAATACCGTTGACCCGATTTTGTTCATATTTTGTACACATATACCCTATGGAGGTAGAAGTTCTGCTCGAAAGCCGATTTTCAAAATGGCCGCTAATTAAAAATTGGCGGTCACTTTAGTGCCGAGTTTACAGTAATTTAGGTGAAATATGTAAAACTGTAATAGCAATATGTTTTAAATGTAACAAAATTATAAAGGACATTAATAAAGCTAGAAATGTAGATATTAAAGAAGCACATCCATCTTGAAAAATTGCGGCCTTTACTCGAAAAGTAGAGGAGCGATTTTGTTCATATTTGCATTGGTATGTGAATACTATAAGCATGGCACACTGTCTAAAATGGCCGCCATTTTAACGTATTTTACTATAACTCGCGCGAATAGTAGTGGAGTGATTTTGTTCATATTTGGTATGTGAATACTATAAGCATGGCACACTGTCTAATGACACTTTTGGTAGAAGGCGGCCATTTTAACGTATTTTCTATAACTCAAAAAGTAGTGGAGCGATTTTGTTCATATTTGGTATGTGAATACTATACGCATGGCACACTGTGTAATGACACTTTTGGTAGAAGGCGGCCATTTTAACGTATTTTCTATAACTCAAAAAGTAGTGGAGGAATTTTGTTCATATTTGGTATGTGAATACTATAAGCATGGCACACTGTCTAATGACACTTTTGATAGAAGGCTTCCATTTTTGCTATATACTTTGTAAATATGCCAGCCATGGCTGTTCGATGGGATTTGCTACGCTTTGGCGTTGCTGTTGTCTAGTTACTAATTTTAAAACACTGATCCAGGTCGGTTATCGGATCATGTGTTTTATACTTCAGAGCTTGCAAGTTCTTGATTTACTTTAGACGCGAAGACGTTCTTTAGACGACTTCATTTCAAACGATGGATTGTTATTTGTTCTTTTACATTTACTTCGGTATTTTTCACGAGTTTTGCTTTAAATCCTTTGCTAAGGGCATACGTTATTGGCCCATTATTAGACTCAATGGCTACAATCAAATCCTTCTTGTTATCGTTTTTGAAAGTGTTTCCAAAGTTTAATTTCGAATAAAACAACAATTATATGACATGTTTTCGGTCTCAGGTTCCACCACTTGACACTAGGTGGCAAGTCGGGTAAACAGTTTAAAGTAAACATGAGAGAGAATGAAATTAACTAATATAATAATTATATACCTTAATCATTATTTGAAACCAGTCAAAACGGTTGAATAAATTAGTGTAAAATCGATAATGTCAAGGGGAACTATATGTAGTATGCATTTTATCCATGCCCCATCACCACCCCGGGACAGATAGCTCAGGTATATAATCCAGCTTGGGAAGTATAAATGTGTCGTTGGGAGTGTAATTTTACAACAAATCTAATCTAAAACTCTCTAAATCACTGAAGAAAGATCCTCAGAACCTTGCCATTTATAAATCAAATCGTACTGCAATGGTAGTTAATACGAAATGGAAAGCAAATAATGAGGATATTAAAAAGAACACATAGTTCCCATTGGGATGTGTGTACAGCTTGTTATAGCAGAGATGTAACGCAGGATCGAAACTTTTGAGTGTATTTATTCATAAATGTTACTGCTAAAAGCTTTCTTTTATTGTTTTGATCTGTGTTTCATCTACATGGTGTTTCATAATGACCGCCCTCCATCCATAGATAATCTTAGATCACAGGGCCCCATGATCTATATATCCAAGTAAAACTTATTGGATTTTAGACTGATTGGTCAAATATTGGCATGATTAAATCATTAGGACTTAATTTGTGAACTTATTTGTGGGGGGGGGGGCGGTCACTATAGAACACCCTGTATTATCAAATATATTGTGTGATCACATAATAGGGTGATCATAAAGCTTGTCATAAAAGTTGAGAAAAGAATTTTAATTTCTCAAATATTCAATATCAATTTATATCAATATTATATCTCAATTGTCTAATCATCAAACATTATATTTTTAATACCAATGCAAATTTTGAACAGAACACGCTATTTCAAAAATAAAATGTCATATTTTATTATCTAATACACGCACTTCAATGATGTTTTACCATATCAGAAATATTTTATGACTAATAAATAATAATAACTAATATGACCTTCACTTCAAATGGGAACGTCCTCAAACTCATTTTATAGCGAATAGAGGAGTTTCTAAATAGCTTTGAAATCTCGCTAATTCTCGTTTTTCATGTGGTTTTAAGAGATTTGCACTTTTTACCTGTAATGACTTACTTTTCTTTATTTTTGATAGCATATTCGAATTCAGTCACACGTTTTCCCAATACTAGCTCACGTTTATTTCCCATTTCAAAGTCGCTTAACTGTTCCTGACTCCAAAATATTAAAATATATAATAAATACAGAATATCACATCATTTTGAGTGATATCATTTTTATCGCCGAATTGATATCAAATATCAACACGAGTGAGCGAAGCGAATGAGTGTTGATATTTGATATCTACGAGGCGATAAAATGATATCACGAGAAATTATGTGATATTGGGTTTATCCCATGATTACAACCACCTTGTGATGTTCTGATCCAATTTCCAGGACATTGGCAGACAATATAAACTAGAAATTAGAATATCAATTGAATATTTGAAACACTTTATTTTAACAATTAAAAGTAAATAACATGATACAGTTCGTCATAAATACAGTTTTTAATCGTTAGTTAGCAGCCTTCTAATCAAATGATATACACAATCGTAATTCAATACACCAATGAAACTTAAAGAGAATAAATTAACGCACCTATTTTCTCAAAAGAGAATAAATTATCTGACCTAATTTCCAACAATATTGTGGCGCGAAATGCAAATGTGATATCACACGGATATGCGTGA